GAAAAACCGAGCCGAGCGCACCTCTGGAACTAGTCTGCAGTTACCTCGGTTCGGTTGTGTCTAGTTGTTCAGTTTGCTTTCCATTTACACACGATAACTTATCTCAGTTACTGAGCTCGAACCGGTCTCGGCTCGGTTTTTCAAGGGTAGTGTAAATGGGGTAATAGTAAACCCAGAGCATAATACTGCCACCACCGTGTTTCGATGCAAGCAGGGTCTACAAAGTGAGGAAAAGTGGCTCCAGTTTAGGATGACTGGATCATCATTCTCTCAGGGTTTAATCACTAGTTGGACAGCAGAATGTTTTCGTTGATCAGACTCTACCTAATTAATTAAAGTGAATTTAATTTAACTAAACGCTGAAGCTGAATCCGAATTTTACTTGTGTCCCATAAAATAAAATAATTCTAGTTTAAAAATTTAGGTTAATTTATCATTTTATTCTTTTTTTTCCATCTAATAAATAAAATTTCTCACTTGAAATATGATGATTTTTTTTAACACTTTTTATATTTAAAGTGATGCTGTATAACTTACCACCAGGAGAGAGCGTAGCAGTAGTGCTCTGTCGCTAAGTTAAACAGCCTCCCAGTAGTTTTATATCTGACAGCAGACCAGTTTGGGCCAGAAGGCTGAGAAGTTATAGAGTTCCTGGTAAAGACGAGGAAAACTTCAGTCCTCTACATTAAATCCTACATCAGAAAACCAGACATGTGTCTGTTGGGCTCTTTTTGGCATCAAGACAATTATTGTTATTGCCACATTGCCAGACAGGACACTGTTAAAAAAAATTAATAAAAAAAAAGAATTAATAAATAAGTCTGTTTCATGGTGAAAAATAAAAAAAAACTAGCTTTTATTTCTATCATCTGCTCTTTGGGGGGGCCTTAAGTTAAATGGCAAAGAATTTCAGGCTTTAAAATAATCGTGTTTCACAGCAAGGACAGGCCAAATGTTAGAAGCTGGTGGCGAAGCACTGAGAGCTGCTGTATCAGTTATGAGGACACATCTAAGAACTGGATTCACTCTGAGCTTTGGAAGCCCAAGGAGGGGATGGATTTTTTATAAAAAAGGTAACCTTTTAAAGGAGTCATAGAATGATTCTATAGGGTATTTGGTGCTGGTCCTTAAAGGAATAGTACACCCAAAACATGATTAGCCTTCATTTTCTACTCACCCCCATGCTGAACAACACTCTGGAGTACTTTTTTGATATCTCAAATGCATCTGGAGATCTGGGAGGCTTCTTGCTGTCTGCTGACATTCAAATAATGGAGGTCTATGGCGCCCGAGGCAGAAAGGTCCATAAAAGTCCACAAAAAACGTGTCAATATTCCTCCATACTGCTCGTCCAATGTATTCCAAGTGTCCTGAGTGGGTAGCGTCCATAATTTACTCGAAACGAAGTCATTTAGAATGTTTTTAGAGCATAAACAGTAGTGTATAGGATTTCCTTAAAGCGCGCACATGCGCGTTCACGAGCCTACGGAAGCCGGCAGACCAAACCAGATGAAAGTGCGCATTCAGCGTCTGCTCTGCCAATAATGCAAGCGTAGAAGAAGAAATGTGCTGTTTACCTGTGCAAAGAAAGAAACAACGAAAGAAAAATGTCTGAGGACTTCAGTGTTGAGGAAGAGCATGAGTTCTTTGCCGAGCTGAATGCGCTGGTTTGGTCTGCTGGCTTCCGTAGCGTCGTGAACGCGCATCTGCGCGCTTTCAGGAAATCCTATACACTACTGTTTATGCTCTAAAAACATTCTAAATGACTTCGTTTCGAGTAAATTCTGGACGCTACCCACTCAGGACACTTGGAATACATTGGACGAGCAGTATGGAGGAATATTGACACGTTTTTTGTGGACTTTTATGGACCTTTCTGCCTCGGGCACCATAGACCTCCATTATTTGAATGTCAGCAGACAGCAAGAAGCCTCCCAGATCTCCAGATGCATTTGAGATATCAAAAAAGTACTCCAGAGTGTTGTTCAGCATGGGGGTGAGTAGAAAATGAAGGCTAATCATGTTTTGGGTGTACTATTCCTTTAAGGTCTCTAATAGGGTGTGTAAAATTGGTTGGGCTGAAAATGGCATATTTGCTGTTCTATGAGCCCTAATGCAAGCTTGGTTAAAAGCCCTAGAATGAAACGACAGGTTTTCTTCCTTTTATGGTATGATCATGAATATTTAGATGAGCTGTGCTCTGATTGGTTGGTTTACAACGAGCAAAGCTGATGAGCAAAGATGCATCATAGCAACAAGCACTCACTCACTGAAACATCAAATTGTTGATATGGTAGGGTGACCAGACGTCCTCTTTTTCCCGGACATGTCGTACTTTCCATACCTAAAAAAATGTCTGAAGGGAATTTCAAAATCGTCTGGAATTTTAGTCGACTACAGTGCAGCAGAACCGAGCCGTCAGCTCCGGGGCTGGTCCGGGAACTCCGGCAGACGGGGGCAGGGAGCCGATGGGGGACGGAGCGACCGAACCCAACCCGGTGATGGTAGCCTGGACACCGGCCTCAGCCCCCCTCCGTAGGCTGAGGACGGGCGGCTCATGGCTCTCTGCTGAGGTCCGGTCCAGTCAGCGGCCCAGCAGTCGACCCTTCATACCCTCCATGGATTCGCCCGTTTTATGGTGGAAGTTTAGAATTGTGAGATTTGCGGAGAAAGGAGGTGTCGATTGGGTTTGAACTTCTCTGGACTTCAATTTCACCCACTGAATTATTGTTATTCATCTATGACAATGGAAACTTGGTTTTGCATTCTATGACCCCTTTAAAATAAAAAAATTTGATTAACCGCCGAGCTCTACTAAAGGAACCTACTCTGTTTTCTCTGCCTTCTCCATGACTTCCTCCAGGCTGCAGACGGATCTTTCACAGGCTTCATCAAGGTCCACCTGCGGCTCAGTCGACCCGTCACAGTGGAGGCCAACCGGGGGCGCGGCCCGTCAGAAGAGCAGGGCGGAGAAAAGGGGCAGCAGACGGAGAAGAGGACGTCCTTCTACCTACCGAGCGACTGTGTGAAGCAGATCCACATCAGCTCTCTGACCACCACCGGCGAGGTGATACAGGGCCTGCTGAAGAAGTTCATGGTGCTGGACGATCCTCGCAAGTTCGCCTTGTACAGGCAGACGCACCGAGACGGACAGGGTGAGGGGGAAAGAAAACAAAGAGACTTGTGGGGATCTTTTTTGTGCTGCAGGACGTTTGGCTCATGGTTTTGTTTTGTGTTTCCGGTGCAGATCTGTTCCAGAAGCTCCCTCTGTCGGAGCATCCTCTCGTCCTGAGGCTGATAGCAGGACCTGATGCGGATCAGCTCACCTTCGTTCTGAAGGAAAACGAGACAGGAGAGGTGGAGGTGAGGCTCCCTGGATATCACACTGAGCAACAGCAGCTTTTCTTATTATTTCTAGGTTGTTTTTAATGCTTTATTAGGATTGTTTGTTGTAGATCGAGGTTGCAACATTTAGAACCCGATGAGACATTTATACCCTCAGTCCAGCAAAATAAAACGTACCTATAGAAGCAGATGTTGGTTGCTGGATTCAACTGTTTATGGAGGAACAAACAACATTGTTTGTAACAGAATAACAAGAGAAATAGACCTTGGATCTGATTTCCTTCACTTTTAGAGACTGATATGAAAATCATTAACTTCTGCTCCTAAAACATGTTTTTATTATTTCGCTGGTATTAGTTAAGTTTTTGTTTTGGATAAAATAAAATGCAAAATTAACACTTATATTCTGCTCCATTCTAGTCGCTCCGTGGACGTATTATTTTTGAAAAACGTTGCGGGTCTTCAACTTTATACAACTTTTTACAATCCAAAGAGCCAGTTCTCTTCCTATTTCAGCTAAATAAAACCTTTTTAGAGTATTTGGGTCGCTTAAAGAGAAGAATAATGTCCTGATTTTGCTTTTCATTGGAGCTAATCTTCTTTCCTAATATAAACCTTTTGAACAAAGACAACATATTTTTTTATTTATAATTTAGGAACTTTGTTGTCATTGTCATCTAACGTTTTATATCAGTTCAATTCAGTTTATTTCACATGTCATCTCAAGGCACTTTACAGTTCAACCAGATCATCCAGTCAATTGATTCAAAGTTTTCTATCTTAGGAAAAACAGTTGATTGCATCGACTAAGGCCCAGTCCACACGAAGTCAAAACGAACACGAAACGCT